AATACTACTACTACTACTGTTACAGCATCCATTATTATTGCTTGCCAGGTAGGCGCTGTGATGGTAAATGTTTGGAACCCTGTAGACTGGCTGTAGGTGGAGCTGGTTGGGCTGGCTCATCGGACTGAAATTGCTGGGCTTGAAGGGCTGTATTTTGGGATTGTACCCCAACTGAAATTGCGATTTGCTGTGCGTGGTTGTTGAAACTGCTGCTGCTGCTATAGACGGCGCTGTTTTCTTTCCACTAATCAGATGATTAGTGGCTGTGACGTTATCAGGCTGCTGTAGTATAGATGGGTGTGATGATGACGATGATGATGATGATGATAGTAGTGGAGCGGATGGTGATGATATGGTGATCGTGATGTTGGTGAATGATGATGAAGATGATGACGACGACGACGATGGATGTTGTGTTGCTGACGACAGGGGCTGCATCTGAATCTTTTCTTCTCTATTCACTTTTAAATTTTAAAATTACATATTCACAATACATATTCATGACACATACACATATTCATAATACATATTCATAATACATATTCATAATACATATTCATATTACATATTCATAATACATATTCATGAAAGAAACTGATAATATAATTATTATTATCATCATCACCATCATCGTCATCGTCATCATCACTTACGTTTCTTAGCGTTCACAATAGCAGGATCAATCTTAAGACCATCAACATCATCATCAGTAGCCCTAGCGACAGTCGCAGAAGAAGCAACCACAGCAGCGCCAGGAGTCGTCGTACAAGTAGTAGTAGTAATAGTAGCACTATTAGTAGTTACAGTAACAGCAACACTACCCTTACTCTTGTTAATATCTCTATTATTATTGCTATCCGCATAGAAGTTATTATTTATAGTCGGGGCAGGGAAATCCCGATCTAAAAATAGACCAGCGAAATTTCCATTGTTTGCAAACATAACATTGCTACTGCTGTTAGCAGCAGCTGCAGCAGCAGCGGCAGTAGTAGTAGTAGTAGAAGTAGAAATAGTAGTTGTCGTCGAAATGATGTTGTTGTTACTGTCTATGGTTTTGGGGAGTTCGTTGCTTTTTAAAAATGGCGGTTGGGGCCCGAAGCTGATGTTAATGTTGGGAAAAAGGGCCTTGAAGCCGGCCTGCCATTTTTTTTGATCACTGTTACTGTTTTGAGGCTGTTGTTGTTGTTGTTGTTGTTGTTGTTGTTGCTGCTGCTGCTGTTGTTGTTTGATTTGCTGGTATGGGTTATTATGCTGTAAAAAAACATTGTTGTTAGTGTAATGTTGTTGTTGCTGCTGCTGCTGCTGTTGCGTGTAGAAATGTTGTTGTTGTTGTTTGTTGAAGGCAGCACGAGCCTGGTACAGATTGCGGAGTTGTTGTTGCTGCTGCTGCTGAATCGAAAACCTGCTATACGGCGATGTGTTGTTGTAACAATTCTGCGAGTTATAGAACAGAGCCTCGTCTAGAACAGGGTTGAAAATATTACTCTTATCAATCATACAATCCCAAGATGATGACGACGATGAAGATGTTGTTGTTGTTGTTGATGTTGTTGTTGTCATAGCAAACGATGTCGTTGTTGTGGCTGTATTCGGCGAGAAAAACATAGTATTACTGCTATTTAACATAAAGGGAGACATGGGAAAACATGGAGATGTTGTTGTTGTTGTTATTGCTGCTGATGTTGTTGTTGTCGGAGTTGTAGTTAGTGACGCCGGCGACAGAAATTTGTTGTAGTTGTTGTTGCTACTGCTGCTGCTGCTGCTGTACGAGGGGAAGAAGTTGGTGGTGGCGCTCATGTCTTTGTTCATGTTGTTACTGGCCATCATTGCTGTGTGCGGGTGATCAGGCAAGTGAATGTTAGCATTGCCATCATTAATATTGTATTATTATTCCATCAGAAAAAAATAATTTTCTGACACACAAACACATGCACACACACACACACGCACGTATGCGTACGAACACATACATTGGTGTGTATGTGTTTGTACGTACACACATACACATAAACAAACACACACACATACACAAACACACACACAGAAGCACACAATCATACAATACAAAAGGAGTGCAAAACCAACCGAACGCACCTTCATAATATTGGTTGCCAACACCACTGCAGCCATTCAGCTTGGAAGAACTACAACTAGCACCACCTCCATATAGGCTGCCGACACCGGCCCCATAAACGCCCCCAGCATACAACCCCCCACCATTAATACCCCCGTAGATGCCACCCACGCCGCTGACAGCGCCACCAATGCCACTTTTAAAATAGTGCATAGGCGATACTGGTATTGACGACGGGGTTGTTGTCGTTACACGAGGCGGAAAAATTGATGCTGATAACGATGACGACGGCATGAAGCAGCTAGCTGTAGTCGATAAGCTGCTAGCCGTAGCTAAAGCTGTAGCTATAGCTGTAGTTGTAACTACAGTAGCGGGCATCGTCGTGAAATGCGAGTATGGATGGTGGCTGAATGTCGATGATGAGTATAACGATGACGACGATGATGATCTTGGTGTTAGTTGTCGTTGTTGGTACTGTTGCTGTTGTACGAGTTGTTGAAACAGGTGATGCGTTGGCTTCATCTGCTGGAAATTAGCTGTAGATGGCGCTTTTTGCTGCTGCTGAAGCTGCTGCTGGTGCTGCTGATGTTGCTTTAGAAGGAGCTTGTTCTGAAAGAGCAGTTGCTGCTGTTGTAGAAGTTGCTGCTGCTGCTGTAGCTGCTTCAGTTGGGAAGACTTCTCTACCTCCAGCATGGCCGCCAAGCCTTGTGAAGATTCCTTCCATGGGTCGAAGCCTGTTTAAGAAAGAATTTAGCGCTAATTAATTCAGTCATTCATTCTTTCATTCATTCATTCATTCATACATCCATTCACTTATTCATTCTCTCATTCATTCACTCATTCATTCATTCCTTCAATCCATCAATCCCTTACCAAGATCATCGTCAATATTAGTATCATCGTCTCCGTAGATATCATTATTGTAGTTGTTGACACCAGTGTAAGAATTGTTGGTCATCTTCTCATCATCATTATCCCCGCCATCGTAAACTTTAATACTATTACCATCATCATATTTAATGACGTCATCATTCTTATTATTATTACATTTAATTACGCTACCGTTATTATATTTTATGACATCATCTTCGTCTTCATCTTCGTCGTCATCGTCATCATCCCAGGCGTTTTTTACATTAAAATTATTGAAACCATTTTCAGTTAGTGAGGTTGTCGATGTTGTTGTCGTTGTTGTCGTTGTTGTTGTTGTTGCGATTATTGCTGTCGATGTTGCTTTGTTTTTCCGCGTTTTTGTTGTTGTTGCTGCTGCAGTGTTAGTATTAGTAGTAGTAGTAGTTATAGTAGTAGTGGTAGTGGTGGTGGTGGTAGTAGAAGTGGCTGCTAAGTTTGCTATAACTGTTAAAAAAAAATTTGTCCTTAAATCTGTCTGAAGCATGTAGTTGTAATCATCATAACCATTAACATTAGCATCATCGTCGTCATCACGATCATCCTCACCATCATCACAATCATCATCATCATCGTCATCACAATCACCATCATCATCACCATCACGATCATCATCATCACAACCATCATCATCACCATCATCATCATCTTACTTTCTTTCCTAGCCCAGGAACTCCCATTCATATACGAAACCAATTTCGAACGATTTAGACCATCATCATCATAATCGCCACCACCATCGTCATCATTATCATCATCGTCGTCGTCACCATCGTCATCATCATCATCATCACCGGTCCTTCTTTTGGCGCTGCTTTTGCCCTTTAAAGACATTTTATTCTTCGAGCTGATAACGCTGTTGCTGTATTCAAAGTTGGCACCGTCATCATTATCATCATCGCCGCTCTTACGATCATCATCAGGACTGTTATCATTTCTAAAATCATCGTTATCATCATCGTCGTCATCGTGAGAGTGTCGGAGCGGTAATGATGATGACAGCTTGCTGCTGCTATGCGCTCGGTTTTTCCAATCGAATTTATTTTTAGATCTGTTGTTATTTATAGCATTGGAAGATATAGTAATAGTCGTCGTCGTTGTTGTTGTTGTGTGCCATGGATGTTGTTGATGTCGTTGTTGTTGTTGTTGTGATAAATTGCTTAATAAATGTTGCGGTTGCTGTTGTTTATGATGTTGTTGTTGTTGATGTTGATGTTGTTGTTGATGTTGCTTTTGAGTCACAATATTTAAACATTGTTGATGTTGTTGTTGTTGTAATATTTTAGATTTGTTGTTATTATGCGTCGTAGTGACAACAGCCACAACCGTGCCGTTGACGCAGGTCGTAGTGGTAGTAGTAGTGGTGGTAGTTGAAGCCGCTGTCGTAGCTGCTGTTGTTGTAATCGCGCTAGTATTGCTATGATGCTTATTGCTGCTCTTAACGTGATGGGCATAATTATAAGTGACATTATTATTACTAATTAGAACATTACTATTTGTATTAGTAGTAGTAGTAGTAGTAGTGGTAGTAGTAGTAGTGGTAATAGTAGTTATAGTAGTAATAGTAGCAGTATTAGTATGAATGGATTTTTTGGTATTACTATTACCGCCATTTACGACGGCGGATTTCCCGCCATTAGAAATGGCGGGAAACGATTTCAATGTCAAGGTCGGTGGATGATTTTTCAAAAGGACCGCCCTGGTGGTGGGGTTGTTCGGATTGAGATTATTGCTGGGAGTGGGAGAGGAAGAGGACGAAGAGGATGACTCCGCCGGACCGAAGTACATGTTGTACAGCTTCTGTTCGTATGTTACGTGCTTCCTGATTGGTTGGCGGGTAGAGGGTTTATTTCATTTGGGAAGTTTTTGATTGGGTGGATTTTTTGAAATTGCTTGATTGGATGGATTGATTATTTGAAATCTTTTGATTGGGTGGAATGATTTTTGACTGGAATTTTTTGATTGGATGGATAAAATCAGTCAGAGGTCATTTTTGTAGAACTAAATGAATGGTCGATCAAAAATTGAATGATTGATTGGTTGATGATTTGATTGATTGGTTGATTGATTGATTGGCTGGTTGATTTATTGGTTGGTTGATTGATTGATTGGTTGATTGATTGGTTGATTGGTTGGTTGATTGATTGGCTGGTTGATTGATCATAGAGACCAACCCCTGTTGGATCTCCTCCTTAGTGAACGTGGCATCGTCCTCAACCATCTCATGAACGTACATGCAATCCTACAACAAGAAGATGTGCCATTGCTATAATAGGCATCACCATCACCATCATCACCACATCATCGTCATCCCCACCATCACTGGACTGACTTACTTACTAAACCACTGACCCAAAACCTAACCGCCTACCTGCTTAAGGCACTGGACCCCTTTCAGAAATCTGCTGCAGTATTTAGTCGTACCCAACGAGGCCCTGAACGTTTTTCCGGCAATTTGAAGGTTGTTGACGGCACGAATGGCTTTCAGGGCGTCCTCCACCCGAGCAAATGTTATGTAGGCGCTCTGGTGAACTTGGGGCTGTTGAAGGTTAAAGGTCAATCTCTCTAGTGGTGCACAACAGCAGAGGCACACACACGCACGCACACAGACACACACACACGCACGCACACACACTATTGTTATTATTTGTTAATATTATAATTACTGCCATTGATAAAAACCTGTTGGCTTGAGCATTTGCTAAAAATAGCTTTCTGTATTTTCCCAAACTTTCCAAAGTATTCGTTTCGTTTCAGGAGCTCAGGATCAGTTAGAGTCATGGGCAGACCGACCACGAATATAAGATTTTTTTGTATTACTCTGTATGAACACATGTATGGATAAGTACATTTGTGTGTGTATGTATGTGTGCGTGTGCGCGCGCGCGCGTGTGTGTGTGTGTGTGCGTGAGTGTGTGCGTTTGCTCACCTGAGTTCAGCTAAATGTTTTCTGTTCTCAATGTTCTTCTGTTTCTCCATACTTTCTTTCATTCTTTTTTCTTTCTTTAATTGTGATATCCTAGGTGATTGAGTGAATTAATGACAAAATGAATAAATTAATTGATTAATTAATTAATGACTAAATGAAATACAGTCAATCAAAATGTTGATTTTAGTTGACAGAAACTAAACAACCTATCAAAATACAGATCCTGGAAAACAAAAACTCAAACAGCCAATCAAAATTTAGATGTCAAACACATCATATAATAAACCAACCAACCAACCAACCAACTAACCAACCAACCAACCAACTAACCAACCAACCAACCAACTAACCAACCAACCAATCAATCAACCTGCCAACCAATCAACCAATTAACATACTCTTCGCTAGTTATTGGCTTGAAATGAGCTGGATCTTCAGTGTATGGCTGAATAAATAAAAAAACAATAATTATGGCATAATAAAAAAATATAATTATTATAACTATAATTTTTACAAAAATAATAATTGTAATTTTAATTACTTTTCTGCAAGCTGGACAGCATCCATTTTCATCTGTTCGTATTCTGTGCCAGCAAAATCTACATATCTTAAATTAAAATATGACAAAATTAATAATTATTGAATGCTATAAATATGTATATATATAATAATACACGCCTAAATGCATACATAATTAGACACACCTTATCAAATAACATCAAGCCACCACACTATGAATAAAATTAGCACTATCAATTATAATATATCATTATTAAAGTATTATTATTTAAACAATAATTAAATAACCTAATAATAACTATTTTATTATAAATTATTTAGAGAATATTAAATGCTAAACGTCGAACTAAACTCACTTGGTACCCACAGACACATGGGTAGAAATTTAGATCGTCGAGTTCCAAAGTCTCCATGCATAACGGACACTAATTTGTAATAGCAATAATAAATATCTGACACTAATTATCACTAATCAATCAGGATTTTGAAATTAGTAAATAAAATAAAATTGTAATTTAAACATCAGACAGGTAGGTAGAGAAATGGTTTTGTTGCCACTAATTCTGGTCTCTAATTTATCATTTATTTATTAATCAATTTGTATTTTTTCATAAAAAGAAATTAAATATTCATGAAAGGTATTTATTTTTCAGAATTATATTGTCATTAAAATATATTTTTAAGACAATAAGCATGAGGACCTGATGTTACATGTCAACATGTGGTGAGGTGGTGATGAAAAGAAGTTTAGAAAAAATTAAGCCAAAAATTAAAATATAAATTAAATGAACAAACTAAAATGAAAAATGAACCTCTGTATTGCCTTCAGACATTTTTGTTCGTTCGTTTGCGATAATTCTCTAGAAAATAAATTATAAAATTAATAATGGAATTAGTTAGTTAGACTGGTAAACAAAACGTTCAAAATCGGTGAAAAATTTTAAATTTGCGGCGATTTTTTCGCACTTGGCGAACGAAAATTAGTAAATTAGACTTACTTTGTGTGAATTTTTATAAATAATATGATTGAAATAATATTTTAAAATAAATTTCGAAATTAAATCAAAAAATATTTGTTTTTATTTTATTTATTTCACTCTATCATCAGAAGAAAAATAAGCTGGCCAGAGTTAAACTATCATCAACATGCTATCGTTGCAATAACAATTTTTTATTTCTTTTTTACATTTTTGGCAAAAATTTGTAAAATTTAAATACAATCAATTATTATATTTAATACATTTTTAATACAAAATTTTTAAATACGCACCATAAAGCTTTTTTTAAATATATTTGTTTTCGTATCGAATTCACTTTTTAATTATTGTGTTATAAAAAATCTTGCGCTATCTGAGGTCTTTAATTTCATGTGATATTTACTTTTGATTTTGATCAATTAAATTCCTGGTGTTTCTCACTAATTTGACTGAATTTCTAATCAAAATCACTAATTCAGTCATTCAACTATTTTATATTAATTACCGAAAAACTTCTACTTACGCAAAAATTCTCGTAAACTTTGTTCGCCACCCACACTAATTAGTTACTTTAAGAATTTTTTACAACACAATTTTTTAGTTTTTGTGGCATTGCCTAAACTAGGGAAAGAAATAAAAATGACATCAACATTTAGAAGTGAGGAGATGTCATTTTGCGACATGTACTTGCATGCAGACGACGCCTTTGAGTGTGTCAATCGCCTGGGAGAGCTAGGGATTTGTCAATTTAAAGATGTTTGTTAATTTTTTTGTCATTTTTATATTTTAAATTAAATTCCAATTTAAAAATTAACTTAAGTCTTAATTTAGTGCATTTTATCACATATTTATTAAATATTTTCATTGTATTTTCAAATTTTTATTGCATTACAACAGATGAATGTAAACATGAATGCCTTTCAAAGACATTTTGTTAGTGAAATCAGAAACCTGGAAGAGATGGAGAGAATAATTAGTAAGTAAAACAGAATTTTAATTTATAAATTTATTATTTCTTTCTAAATAATAATTAATAATAGTTTTATTATTCATAATTTTAAAAAATTCCTCGTGATCTCAAAAAATATATATATAATATGGTTGTTGATATTATTATAATTATCTATAATATATGACCTATATATATATATATATTTATTATAGTCATAATGTTTATAATAATTAAAATGATAATTTTACTGTGATACCATAATTTTAGGGTATTTTACAAACGAGCTGAAGAAAGACGAGATGAAATATTTTGATGAGAGTTTCCAGGAGGACCAAGCTGCCATGTCGAGCTCTCTCAATGATATGATTGTCCGTTCCTATTTAATTATAATTATTAATTATAGTCATTATATAATTATTATAATGATGATGGTGATGATTGTTGGTTCACATTTAATTATGATTATTAATTATAGTCATAATATAATTATAATGATGATGATGATTGTTGGTTCACATTTAATTATGATTATTAATTATAGTCATAATATAATTATAATGATGATGATGATGATTGTTGGTTCACATTTAATTATAATTATTAATTATAGTCATAATATAATTATTATGATGATGATGATTGTCGGTTCATATTTAGTTATAATTATTAATTTATAGCTATGTTAATATTGTGATAGTTAATGTGATGATAAACAAGCTGACTTATTCAATGGTAGATGAGATTAATGCGCCATAATTATTAATAATATTAACTTTAACAATTATAATTAATAATTACGGTAATATTTGTAATAATAATAATTATTGTTTTAATTATTTTATAGGCAAAATTAGAAAGTAGGGAGAAAGAGCTGAAAGAATTGGGCTCCAACTTTGAGGAGCTTGAAAAAAATCACAATGAACTTATTGAATTGAGTAATGTCCTCAATAAAACTACTACATTTTTTGAGGTTGTTTGATTGGTCGATTGATTGATTGATTGATTGATTGATTGATTGATTGATTGAATAGTTGTTTGATTGGTTGGTGGATTGTTTGATTGATTGTTTGATTGGTTGATCATCACCACCATCATCGTCATCATCATCAGTCCATTGGTACAGACATACCCATACAAGGCCAGCCAGACATACCAGACGAGATTGTCGAGTCAGCCAGTGGGCGGGCTACTCTGAGGTGATGATGAGGAAGATGATGATGAGGAGGAGGAGGAAGAAGATGATTATGATGATGATGATGATGATGATGGTGATGAGTAGGAGGATGGAGTCTATGATGTTGATGTGATCAGTCAACCAATCGGTCAACCATCCAATCAACCAATCAGACAATCAATCAACCAGACAACCAATCTATCAACCAATCAATCAATCAACCAACCAACCAATCAGGTACACTGCTGGCGTGATGCCGGTCAATCGCGTCTTTGGATTCACTCGACTTTTATATTTTGCCACTAGGGGCGCTTCTTTCCTCAGAACGGCCGACATAGACGGACAAATTAGGGACCCAGCCACCGTTAGTTACATTTTAGGAATGTGCCAACTTTGGGGGGGATGGTCTAGAACGTTTGGTTTTTTTCAGTAACATCTTTAGGAATGGGTTGATTTATGAGGGTTCAGAACTGATTGATAGGTTGATTGATTGATTGGTTGGTTGGTTGATTAATTGATTGGTTGATTGATTGATTGATTGATTGATTGATAGGGTGATATTGTTAACAAATGTGTCTTCATGGTTGTGTGCTCGGGCCAACAGTTGCATTCGAAGATCAGGAAAATCGCTGAGGGGTTAGTTCGTTACTATAAAATAATAATATGGATAAAAATTATAATTTATAATAATAATAAATAATAATAATTAATCATAATAATAATAATTAATCATAATAATAATATTAAGATTCCATGCAACCTTGTATCCGTGCCCTGACAACCTGCCGGAGAGAGAAAGAATGATGGATGGAGTGAGGCAAAGATTGATCGATCTGGAGATGGTAAATAACATCAATAATAATAATAATAATAACTTTTATGATTATTGTTATTATTTATTATTGTAATTGTTATTATTATTGCTGTTATTTTCCCAAAGATCCTAGATAGGTCGCGCGAACAACGAGAACAGACTCTCAGAATTATTGCTAGGAATCTTAAGAGTTGGAAAGTTAAGGTCCGGGACAATCTTTTCATTCATTCATTCATCTGTTCATTCATTCATTCATTTATTTATTTATTCATTCATTCATTCACTCTTCGTTTTTTCTTTCATTTATTCGTTCGTTCGTTCATTCATTCATGACAGGTAGTTCGCCTAAAAGCCTGCTACCACATGCTAAACATGTTCAGGTAGAAGCGATTAATTAATTCTTTCATTCATTCATTCATTCATTCATTCATTCATTCATTTAATCATCAATTTTTTCATTCATCCATTCTTTCATTCATTCATCCATCCATTCATTCATCCATTCAGATACGAGCGCGGTAGTTTTGTAGGCCAGTGCTGGCTGCCGACCAGCTACCTCGCTCGAGTTCAAAATCTCCTCAACGTCAGCAACGTTAGTGACGTCATTATTATTATTATTATTATTATTATTAATTATTCATTATTATTATTATTATTATTATCATCATCGTCGTCGTTTTGAGGATCGGGCAAGCAACATCATCAACCCAATCCCAAGTTCCAGCCTTCCTACCTACCACAAATCGAATTCCTTCACGATGGCGTTCCAGGCCATCATAGATGCATACGGTATCGCTACCTATAAGGAAGTTAATCCAGGTTTGCATGGGTAGTGCTGTCGTAGTGCAATGGTTAAGATGCCCGGCTCTGTTGTCGCCGTGGCCTTGTTCGAATGCAAGAAATCCCCGACTATCACTTGAAATGTTTGGTGCATTGAGTCACGTGCATTTTCACATACAACGTGTGTATGTGTGTGTGTTCGTGTGTGTGTTGTTGTTGATGTTTATAAGAAATCATCATTACCATCATCATTAGCATTACCATCACAAACAACATTATTTTCATTACCATTAGCATTATCATCACCACGATCGTCATCAACACCATAGTGTCATCATCATTATCAACACCATCGTGCCATCATCATCGTCATCAACACCATCGTGCCATCATCAACACCATCGTGCCATCATCAACACCATCATTAACACCATCATCATCATCGTTGTCGTCGTCATCACGACAGCCATCTTCTCCATCATCACTTTCCCGTTCTTGTTCTCGGTGATGTTCGGCGATGCAGGTCACGGCCTGCTCATGCTGCTCTTCGCCCTCTACCTCTGCCTCAATCAGAGGAGTCTGGCTACTGCTGCTGAGAAAAATGAGGTCAGGACGATGATGATGATGATGATGGTAATGATGATGTTGGTGATGGTGGTGATGATGTTGGTGATGGTGATGATGGTGTTGGTGGTGATGATGATGATGATGTTGTTGGTGATGGTGATAGTGATGGGGATGATGTTGGTGATGATGCTGGTGATGAAGTTAACATTTTTTTTTTGATCGAAGATCTTTTCAATAGTGTTCGGTGGCAGGTACATGATTCTCTTGATGAGTCTATTCAGCATTTATTCGGGTTATTTATTAATTATTCATGGAATTTTCACAATTTGATCTCATTAATATTCATATTCCTTAACTGCGTATGTTACTGTCCTGGTTATGACATTAAACTGACCCTCAATGCCTTGTGAGTAATGTTGGATCATTAAAGGCTAGGCCCACCGCTTATAACTGTGGTTGCGTAAGGAAGGGCGTCCTGCGTAAAAATTAGCCAAATAAATTACTTATGATGGAATGGCGTCGAGGGGTATTTCGGTTTCATCATAGGTAGCCAAATGGCAACCCCCGATCTCGGGGAAAATGTCGTCTAAACGTGTGTTGTTGTTGTTGTTAACTGCGTATGTTAATTCGAGTTAATTCATGTTAATTTATGCATATTTTGATCTCAAAGGCTTCATGTACAATGACGTCTTCTCGAGGTCTGTAGCTTTTGTACCATCGTCTTGGAAAGTTGTTTATGAGTTAGTATATTACATACATACAAACATAATTACAAACATACATACAAACAAACATACATACAAACCATCATACATACAAACATACGTACATACAAACACACAAACATACATACAAACAAACAAACGTACATGCATACTTACAAACACAGTGAGCAATATTTAGAAAAGTATTCATCCTCTATGTTGGACCCCTCCAATAAAACGGTTTTTCAGAATGCCTATCCATTTGGTATCGATCCAGTTAGTGGTTGTATGCCTGTCTCTCTTTATCTCCTCTCTCTCTCCCTCTCTCTCTCTCTCTCTCTCTCTCTCTCTCTCTCTCTCTCTCTCTCTGTGTTTGTGTGTGTGTTTGTTTTGAAATTATGGGCTAGCGTAATTACGTACACTCATGCATTAATTTACACCAACATTCATAGATCCATCTATACATACATACATATTCATACATATTCATACGTACATACATACATACATACAAACAAACAAACATACACATACATACATACATACATACACATACATACATGGACTCACAGACACACATACATGTGATAATTACTAAACTATTATTAATTCATAATTACTTATAGGTCTGGAAGTCATCATCAAACCAAATAACTTTCACAAATTCGTACAAGAAAAAGCTATCTATAGTCTTTGGTGTTGCTCAGATGTTGCTAGGAATTTTTTTGGGATTGTGCAATCACATGTAGGGTTTTTGGTTACTATCATAATGGTTGTTGTTTATTAGTTGTAGTATTGTTTCTCATTATTTATCTCATTATGTATTCTCATTTGTTGCAGCAGTTCTGAATGGTAAGTACGGTGTATGAATGTAACTTTCTGATTGGTTGGTTGGCTAGATGGTTGGTTGGTTGGTTGGTTGGTTGGTTAGTTGGTTGGTTGGTTGGTTGATTGATTGTTTGTTTCAACTTTGTTGGTTATTTTTCTCATCCTAATCATCATCATCATCACCTACCATAGATATTTTAAAAAGTACCTCAACATAATTTGCGATTTCATACCCATGTTGCTCTTCCTACTATCGCTCTTTGGTTACCTGACGGCACTCATTATCGCCAAGTGGGCCATTTTTTACGAGGGATCCAGCTTCTACGATTGCTCGCCTAACTTGCTGATTGGTTGGTTCATTCATTCATTTTTATTGGTTGATTCATTCATTCATTCGTTCATTCATTCGTCTTTCCATTCTTTCAGTCAACTTTCTTATAAAAGTTCAAAAAATTTCGTACCGTTGATACGAGCCTCAATGTAATATATTCCTTTGGTGTAAATAAATAATATCTTAATTAATATTCATAAATTTGTCACTTAGCCTGATGAATTAACATAATTAATGCACGTATTAAATATCAGGCTTCATCAACATGTTCCTGATGAGTTATCCAGCTCCAGCTGATGACAAGCAATGTGATACTATTTGGTTTACCGGGCAGGTTGGGGCATAGGCCACCCGATTATAATATGTTAATTAGGTCAGCTTATTATATATTATAATTATTTATTATAATTTTGTTTTCTAGAAAGAACTACAAATAACATTGGTAGTGGTGGCCGTTGTCTGCGCTGTTTGGCTCCTGCTAGGCAAGCCTTTAATCCTATTGGCTGTCCACAAATACAACACAACCAATAGCGTTAGTTCTTTAATTTGATTGGTCAATTGTTTGCTGGTTTGGTGGGCCGTTGGTGAATTGGATTTGTTGAACTGCTCGAATACTTGCTTCTGTTGTGTTGTTTGCTTTTGAACTGTTTCGAGTCTTGTGAATTCATGGGTTTCTAGGTTTTTTTTATCATCATAATTTTCATCACCATCGTCGTCATTATAGTTATTATTATTATTACTATTATCGTCGTCATCATCTCGATCGCAATCATCATCATAACCAATCAGGGCCACCAGAGACTGGTAGAAGAGTCGCCATCTTCGCCATCGTCACGAATCGATTTCGGCAGTGACGTCAGAAACCGGCGCTCCTCCTCATTGGCCGACCGCGACTCCATTGATGTGCTTAATAGTCACGGCTCCGGAAATAGAGATGTGCTGAATAGTCATAATTCTGCTACGAGCGGGGAACTCGATGGAATTTCAAAGAGCCGTTCAGATTCAGTTGTGGTTGTTGTCGGTGGTGATGATGTTCATCATGAAGTTGGTGATGATGATGATGATGACGATTATAGTGATGATGATGATGATGATGATGATGACGACGATGACAATAATGATTGATTACGACAGTTTTGTAGCCAAAAAAATACATTATCCTTCACAATGAACGAAGATATATAATTTTCTCCCAAGAAATAAAACATCGGTATGTAACTTCCCTTCACGAAAATTTAACATTGCAGAAATTTGATTTTGGCGATATTATGGTACATCAAGCCATTCACACCATTGAGTTCTGCTTGGGTTGCATATCTCACACTGCTTCTTATCTGAGGCTGTGGGCTTTGAGTTTGGCTCATGCACGTAAGTTTTGTGCTCTTCTGTGAGTGTGTGTGTGTGTGCGCGCCTTTGTTTGTCTTTTTCTTTCTCTCTCTCTCTCTCTCTCTCTCTCTCTCTCTCTCTCTTTCTTATTTTTTCTCTATCTTACTTTATCTCTCATTATGCTTGCGTGTCTGTGTAACAGCGTATTTGTATTCAAAAATCTTTTCTATTGCAATATACATACATAACCGACAAGCACACGCATACAAACACACACACACATACAAACACACTCGCGCGCGCGCACGCATACAGAACTATCAGAAGTTTTGTGGACTATGGTGATGAGAATTGGTCTAAAGTTGGGTGCAAAATGGGTCAATAGCGTTGTGATTTTTCTGACCTTTGCCCCGTTCGCCACCTTAACTGTCGTCATCCTAATACTTATGGAAGGTCTTTCGGCGTTTTTGCATACATTACGTCTGCATTGGTTAGTTACTGGACGATATTATGTCGTGGGTTGTCGTTTTTTTTATATGCCGCGGATATTCTATGTTGTGGCTAAACTTTTTGTGATTTAAATATCTTTGCTTGGTTTTCATTCATTTGCCCTGACTTTTTCAGTTTAAACAGCTTAATGCTATGATTTTTACTCGTTACCATCATTGTTACCAATAATAATATCTATAATAATAATAATGATGATGATGATGATAATAATGATGATAATAAATCTTTATCATCGTCCCAAGGGTTGAATTTAACAGTAAATTTTACGACGGGAATGGCCTACCGTTCGATCCATTTTGCTTCGAGAAGATCATGAAGAACGTTGAGGGATAACTTTGTGTATATGTATGTGCATGTTTGTCTGTGTGTGTGTGTACGTGTTTGTATGTGTGTGTGTGTGTGTCTATGTGTTATTCATGCGTTTTTTTGTTGCGATTGTTAATTCGTATTGAGACTAATATTGAGTGGGAGTGTTTATTTATTATCTCTTCTAGTTATTTCTACAACTTGTTCATGTTTTTGTCTCTGTGTGTTTGTGTTTTTTGTGTGTGTTTGTGTGTGTGTGTTTTTGTATATGTTTGTTTTTGTATCTATCAGCTACACTTTAAAAAAACGCTTATAATAAATAGATACAATTATGTTTTGAAGTAGCTATCTTAGTTTTAATATATATTATGTTATATATATATATATATACATATATATTTATATATATATCTATATATATATAGTCATTTATGAAGCGCCTACTCTTATTTTGATGGTTTAATTTATTTTATTCCTTAGTTTGTGCATTTAAGTTGAATTTAACCATTTAACCTTGAATTTTTAATAACCTTTTGTATTGTGTGTGTGTTTGTGTGTGAGTGATATTCGGACATGTATGTATTGTGAGATTGAAATTGATAACGTCATAATTAGCTTATTGTTTGTTTCGTTACATTCTACCATCTAATTTCTAATACGACATGTAACATCACATTTCTTTCAATTTGCACTTTATTAATTCATTTATTTAATTCATTTATAACTTTGTGATAGCATTGAATAATTTGGGGGAAAATTTTTACATCCGGAAACCCATCCTGACGACAACCACGAGCTATGAACAGAGCTTTGCTCAAAATCTATATAACTATAATAACACTATATAACTATATAATCAATAACTCAACATAATTATATATAAATCTATTTAACCGTGTATAACTATATATGTATTCAATAACTCGCAAGAGTCTATTACCACGATTCAATGGTTATTGCAGTTTTAATAATTTAAATTAACTTTTTAGCGAGTTAAAAGTAAACATGCTGGCAACGGTAAAGTCGCTAAAATGCCTTTCTAATGCTTTGAATTTAAGATTTTTCAGTAGAACTGGCGTTAATTTTAACGAGAAAGTTTTAAAAAATTTAAAAATCGGCGCAAAGTCATTTGTCGAAAAATCGTTCAGCTTGGAGAATGTGAAAACTTTCGCTGCTCTAAGTGGTGACTTCAATCCAATCCATCTGGATGAGAATTTCATACAAAGTACCAAGTACAAAAAGTTGATTGTTCACGGTATGTTGGTCAACAGGTATTCTGTATTTTTTTCGAATTCATTATTTAATTTATTTGTAATTTATTATAAATTATAGTACTAATTACTAATAGGTTGTTTAATTTTCTAATGGTAATACAAAATTTAATTTGTACGTAATAGTAAAATGACAATTTTGGGTTTTTTTTGTGATTTAATTTTTGACTCTTTATTTTATGTTCCTAATTTGTGATCTAGCTTGTTTTCCGGACTTTTGGCCAATCAATATGGACCAGGTGCTTTGTTAGTAGAACTCAAATGTCAATATCTCTCTCCAGGTTCATGAAATAAAATTAAAAACTGAATAATTGATTGCTAATATAATTACTTTTAGTATATTATATATAAAAAAGAATTATATATATAAATTAATAATTAATGTTTTTGATGAATAAAAATCAAATAAATGAATAACTGAACAGCTTGTTGCCAACTAGCTATTTAAATTTTTTCTCTATATTTCTAGTTTTTGTGGACAATAAAGTAATAGCAGAAAGTGAAGTTAGGAGAGTAGATGGGCTCAAAGTGACCATAGATTTAAAATGTTATTCACCTGATTTGGAGAATCCCAAAGTTTGAAAATTTGTCTTAAATTCACTTTTTTATATTAAAATATAAAGTAATTCATTTATTTTTAAATGATATATCTTCATAGCTAACAAATACTTAATTGAAAAAACTATGTATTGTTCAATCCTATCTAATCTTGGTGGATCGTCTCTTAATCATAATGAAATTTAAATTAAATTAATTTAAATCAAAGTATTTTGAAGTTGAAATTTGATAAAATTTATGAATGATTTTAATTCTGAAAAATAATTTCCAGGTTTACATAAAAGGTGAGACCACAGTTCTAGTGTCAAAAAATGCAGTTAGAGATAACAGATTAGGGAAAGACTGAAAATTTAAAAGCAAATTTACATTTTAAAACATATAACTACCATTTTCTTAATTTATTCCCATTAAATTTTAAATTTATGATATATTGGCTAAAATAAATAAATTCTGTTAAAGTAGAAGATTGAAGCAACAAACAAAAAAGCTTTTAATTTCAAAATTGTGAAGACAAAAACGTGATTATTTACGTAAGTGCGTAAGTCAATCAGTATATATTATATATATATATATATAAACGTTATCATTTTAAACACTTCTAATGGAATATAGAATAGGTAGAATGAAATAGAGGCTTAAATAAATCTTCTTTTCATAGGAATACGCTGTAGAAGTATAGATAGATTAATATAGAAAAGTAAGTGTATGCGAGTATTAATGTATGAATGAGTTTGTTATTACAAACAAATCTTCAAGTCTTCATGGATTAAGAGCACTATATATTTACAATGGTTCTGTAATAAAACCTATTAGGAAAATAATTTCTTTGATTCAAATTCAATATCATAGATTAATTGGAATTAGCCAACAACGTAGTAATAGCGATAAGAAGGAATAGCAAATAATAACAGACTTAAACACAACAAATAAATAAGTACATTGTATGTAGGTATGTGTGGATGGATGTATGTTTTTCATGTTAGCTTATACGTCCGTATTTTTAAGTATGTGTGGGCATACAACTGGATTGTACATTTGTATGTATGTATGTACGTATTTGACTTAGATACTTCGTTGTCATAACTTTGTATTGTGTTTAATGTGGAAAAATAAAAAAGGTAGGTGTTTTATTATTTGAAGAATAACAGTAAATTTCTAGGATAACACTTATATAGTGCTTTTTATAAACAAGTTTTTAAAAAAGTAACGTATGTATAGTGTGTATTATGTCTATGGTAAACATGGAATATAAAACAAATATTGTAAGCATACACCAAATAAATCTTTACAAATTGTAAAAATTGAAATAAAACACTGAGAAAAAAAGCTATTATATCTATGAAGTTTAGAAAAAAAATCTTTTCTTTCTATTTTTTCTCATTCTTTCTCAACTGAGATTCTCTTTTACACTTTTTTGCCAAACACTTTGGTGATGAACTCTTCATAGTTTAGTGTTCCTGAACCATCAGTGTCACAGAGTTTCATCATTCGATCGATTTCAGCCGGGGACAAATAATTTCCCATCTCTTTGAAGACTTCTCCCAACTCTGATTTATCAATGCAACCGTCACGATTCTTATCAAACTGCCTGAATACAGAACGCATAGTGGCTCCTCTAGAAATTGAAATAAATATTAAATAGTTATGGTAAATTTAGACTTTGACACATACAAGGATGTATATATGTGTGTGTGCGTATGTGTGTGTGCACATGTGAGAAAAAGATTTCACAACTAGTATCACATTACTATTATCCAGCATTTGTTATCATTAATAAAGTAATACTGATGGTAGAAGGATCAGTAACAATATTAGAAGTGTTTAGTTTTAAGTATTTAATTACAAATATAATTTAAAATTACTTATGATCTTCTGGTGGAATCTGTCCCATCCCTATTAAATACTCATTCAAAGTTAGGACTCCGTCTCCAGAGGTGTCAATCTGATCAAACATTTGCTGAAGAAAAATAAATGAATGAATTATTTCAATGAACATATTTAAATATTGTAAACCAGAGATTTTGTTTTTCAGTATAAAAAATTGTGAGATTCATAAACTGGTAAATGGCTACTAACTAAACTAAACGTAAGTCAAAGAGAAACTTTACACCAATTTTACCCTAATTTTAGTGTCAGATCCGGCATAGCCTTTACTTTTGAGCATGGTGATGAGTTCTTGAACAGTCAGAGTCCCGCTTCCGTCTTTGTCCGTTTCCCTAAAAAATTGCATGTAACGATCGTCGCTGGCCATTTTATATTTTTAATCAAGAAAATATCAAACAATGTTCGTAAAAAATATATCAACTATAACAAGTATTTTTGACAACTCGTTATTTTCTCGATTTTGCGGCAAACACAATTAGCCTGAACTTATTTTAGGAAACAAACGCTATTAGAAAAGTTACCACTGCAGCAATTGTGTTCACATTATATTATATATATCTCTAACATGAATAATATTAATATATACCTATACACAGATATATATCTATAATACATACATATATATATTTATAATATACCTAACAAAATAGAGATTTTATATGTCATAGAGCCAAATACAAATTGTATGAAATATGCATTTAAAAGTTAATTTAATACAAACAACGGTCGATCTATTGGTCGCACTTTATAAAATTAAAATGAGCAGCAACTAATTTTTGTCGTTAAAATCCTATCGAATACCGAAACACCGAATACATATTCGTCCGCGCATCACGTGTTCAAGTGTATTTGAGTATATAAATATATATATTAAATAAATTGAAACATCTTTAATTAAATGACAAACGATTTTCACAAAGTAAAATAAAAGTTATTGTTAACGATGAGCTATTTATATAAATAATAAACTCATCAGATTATGTCACACTATATATATATATATATATAATATATATATATATGTAAATATAAACAAATCTAATACATGTATATATATATATATAACTTACATATATAAATACATGTACACCACATATCCTCATTAGACATTTTTCCCATAATCATTAGATTTATTTACAATAACATCTTTATCATCACTATCACTTGATGAAGAAGATGACGACGATGACGGGAGTTTATTTATAGATTTTTTATTTTTAGAAGCAGATTTCTCTTTCTGGCTATTTTTAGCTGGGTTAGCGTCTGATGCAGTTGGAACTAGATTGATGTTGTTGTTGTCATTACTATTATTGTTAATATTACTACTATTTATGTTACTGTTAATGTTTTTGTTGTTGTTATTGAAACTAGCGCCACCATCCTGGTGATTTATCCTCTTCAACAGGGAAACATCACAAAGAGTTCCTAGGTACCTAACTTGCAAGCCTGAATTAGGCGGTGGGGACAAGTAGGATGACGTCATATTGTTGTTGTTGTTGCCGTTGTCGTTCGGATAATATTGTTGTTGTTGTTGATGATATTGATGTTGTTGATGCTGCGTCATGCCAACATCTGAAATCAGAAATTTTTGTTTATTTTAGTAATTCAATTTTGGAGTAGCAAGAAATTTGAAATAAAAATGAATGTGATAGACGAACTAACTCTGATCGTCGTCCCCACCATCATCGTCAACATCAACATAGCTTTCGGCATCATCGTCATTATTGTTAGTTGGCTCTATGTTGATGAAGCCAGGATTATAACTGCAACTGTTGTCAATAGCTGAGTTTGATAAGCTTAACATCAAGTTAGATGACGACGACGATGTTTGTTGATGTTGTTGTTGCTGGTGTTGATGATGATGAAATTGTTGATGCTGTTGTTGTGGTTGCTGTTGATATAACGAGTGTTGTTCTTGGTGGTGAAGTTGCTGAAGCATTTGTTGCTGATGTTGTTGCTGCTGTGGCTCACTATGTTGTTGTTGATGTTGTATTAGTTGCTGTAGTTGTTGTTGTTGTAGGGTGGGTGATGCCAAATTGCAATTGTTGTTGGTGACTACAGAATCTAGGAATGATAAATAATAATTAACATAACAATAATAATCAGACTGGTTGGTTGATTAGTTGGTTGGTTGGCTGATTGACAAAAGTCATGGCAAAATTGCGACGATTGCTTGTCAACTTGATCTATATTTCAACTCATGACACACCATCAACTCAAACATAAAACCCTGATTATAATATATCAAAGGTTTTTATCACACACGCACGCACGCACAAACACACACATACACACAAAGTATCATAAATACGTTTCCACAATGTTTGCTTCCTAGTATGACGGGTATCATCAATAAGAAAACCATTTAGTTTACTAATAACATTCATATAATAATTTCATTGTGAGATTTATATTTATCCCTCTAACCTTTCAAGACTTGCATTCTCATAGATTTTATTCTTTTCTCTTCTTCGAGTAACTTTAAAAGAATTGAGTTGAAAGAGTGAATGAATTGAATTAATCAATCAATCAATGAGTGAATGAATTGAGTGAATCAATCAATCAATCAATGAGTGAATGAACTGAGTGAATCAATCAATCAATCAATCAATGAGTGAATGAATAAATGGACCGTTTTTCAACATTATTATCAACATTCAACAACCGCACATAAAATCACATCATTATCACCATCACAGTCACACTCCACTTCAGCATCATAACCCTCACCAACGTCATCATTATCAGCAGCAGCATCATCATCACTATCAACAACAACAACAACAGAAACACAATCATCATCATCATCATCATCATCATCATCACAATCATCAGCATCGCCATCTTCACTGACGCTATCTTTGTATTGTCGTTTGGTGTTCAGTCGTTGGGTTAGGTCAGCTAGGCAAGATTGTAGGTACTGCATCTCGCAGTCTGCCTGTGCAATGTAACTATGCAGCTCGTCTTCTCTTAAGGACAGCTGTAAAATTGTCTCCAGCACATTCTCTGATGAGTCTATTGGGAAAGAAATGATGAACGAAAGATCAAAACCGACGAAGAAAGGTCTTTAAGTGATAATTAACTGATAAATAGTGATAAATAAAAGTTTAATGGTTATAAATAAGTGATAATTAAATGATGAATAGTGACGAATGAGTACATTTCATAGCAATACAATGATAAGCTTTCATGAAAATGATAATATAATAAAATGATAAACGATGATGGCGAAAGTTTATGACGACGAATCCAGTTATAAATTGGCAACCCGACATCAGGAAACAATAAACAAAAACGCTGAAACAAACAAGAAAAATTTACTTTGATTGCTAGCGCTATTAGCACTATTACTTTTATTGAGATTACTATCTTCAGTATTGTTACCACTACCACAATTAGCAGTAGTGGTGGCGCTGGTAGTAGCGACAGTAGTAGTGGCGCTAGTAGTAGCCACCGAATTACCTGATTTTCGTCGCGTCTTTTTCTTTGCAGTAGAATCATCGGGTGACAAATCATTAGACAAGCTATTCAGCCTGTCGATAATATTCTCGCTGGATGGCGAATTAGTTACATCATTGGTTGAAGTTTTTTTGGCTCTTTTTTTCTTAGCCTGACTAGCTGTACCGTCGTCAACTTTGGCATCTGCGTTTGAAGAAACTTTTCTCTTTCTAGTTTTAGGAGATTTGGAGGCTGGATTACTAGAGTCCCCAGCAACAGTCGACATGGCGGTATCTTTAGCTTTCCTAATCCTCTTCTTAGATGATTTTGAATTCTCACCATCACTCAAGACGATTGGGTCTAACACAGTTGAAGAAAAATCTAGAACATCATTGATGACAGCACTAACTTCATCCGGTATATCAGTTTTCACTGCCGTTAAATCGATGTTAGCCAGATCTAAATGTTCAAGTGAGAAAGGTACTTCAAGGCCAAATTCTATTGATTTAATTTTAGAGTTATACTCTTTCCTTAATCTCTCAATCTGTATCTGATCTTTTCGTGATCTTGGGAAGGATATCAGTTTTAGGAGTTCTGATTTGGTTAGGGATTTTTTTGGCAACTTGTCAGCTGCGGCCGCTGTAGTAACTGATTTGTTGGTTGCATCATTTTTATTGTCTTTAGAGCTGTTGGCTGTTGATGTATTCTGGCTGGTGCTTGCCGTTTTTGACGGCGTATTTTTCATCTTTTTAGTTAGTTGTTCTTTATTTTCACTTGTTGTTTGTGCTGTTGCTGTTGTTGATGCTGTTGTGGAGCCATTTGTAGAACTTTTAAAAACCTTTTTCTCACCTTTAACCCCTTTAGGATCAGTGTTAAGTTTTCTTTTGATTGTTTTCGTTTTTGCATCTGCGCTATTTTCAGCCACTGCACTTTCTTTGCTAGCAACAGTTTCTTTATTAACTGGAGCCTGAGCTATTTTTAAATCTGATGGTTTTTTACCATTTTCCGAATCAGGTGATGACGACGACGACGATGATGATGACGACGACGATGAAGACGAATCAGAATCATTACCATCATCATCGGCAGCAGCAGCAAGTTTCCCATTTTTCTTATCAGTTAATTTTCTCTGAACAGACTGAGGTTTATTCAGTGATGATGATACATTCGTTGAACTTGCATTGAAACTATTAGCAGAAGCAACAGTAGCAGCAGCTTTAGTAGCTGCAGTAGCAGTAGTAGTGGTAACAGTAGCATAACTACCTTTCTGAGTAAAAATTTTACTAGGTGTTTGACTAGTTTTCCCAGTATTTTGATCCTTCTTTGATGAATCACTTGCAGTTTTGGATTTTTTGGAGCTTTCAACTTCATCTTTCTTCATTTGTTTCTCTTTAACTTTTGAACTTTTCATCACTTTAAAGTCTGTTTGGGGTTTACTGTTAACAACATGCATAGTATTTTTACTACTACTACTGCTACTCTTATTATTGCATTTAATACTGTCATCTTTATTACTACTGCTATTATTGTTGTTGTTATAGCTTGCAATGTTTGTGTAATTAGAGAAGATCTTTGAAGCAGTAGCACTAATAGTAGCAGCTGAAGTAGCCATAGCAGCAGTAGTAATTGTAGAAGTAGTAGTGGTAACTGTGGTTGTAGTGATAGTAGTAGCCGTAGTAGCGTTTTTGCTTTTACAATTTCCCGAATCATTCATGATTTCACTTTTAATGAGCAGGGATGTCTTTGTTTCATTGCTAGCACTATCATCATTTGAATTTTTGGTGTCCATTGTTGCATTGTTGTCCTTTTCTGGCTGACTTTTACTACCAGCTGAGTCAGAAAATTTGATATGCACATTAGGTTTATCACCAAGCTTATTAATATTAATATTATTTGGTATCTTTGGTGAAACAGATCTTGACAAATTCAGAACAGTTTCACTGTTGGGAAGATTTTTTTCAACGATGCTGCCACTGTTGTTTTTAGCCATGTTAACATCACTTTTATCATACCTCTGAGATCGGTCTCTATCCTGATGACGATTCTTGTCATAATTTTTATCATAATTATTGTTATAATTACGATAATTTTGTTGATTGGATCTGTACTGCTGTTGCTGATGATGATAGTGATCAAATTGATGCTGCTGTTGTTGTTGTCGATGTCTTTGGTAGTAAGGGGTATAGTGCGACGATGACGAAGGTGGTGACAATGGATAACCCCTATTATCACCATAGCGTTTCCGAACTGTATTATCTATGCCGGTGTCATCATTGTTGTATTTATTGTAGTTAAACTGTCTTTGCCGGTAGTTGTACTTATCATGTTTGGAAATTCCAGAATTTCTATAATTAGAAAAACTATAATGCATTGTGGATGTTTCAAACAATGTTGCGGATGGTAGCAAGGTTTTCTTTCCAGGCAGTTTGTCATCTTTGCTCGACGAAAGTGAACTCAGTTGATCATTTTGTGAGTTATTTTCACCTAAGATGTCATTAAATATTTCACAAGTTTTCTTGGAAACTTTTTCTGGGAGATCGACAGAGGTGGAGGTAGATGTCGACGGTTCACTGGTCGACGGTTTTGCTGTTTTATCTTTGTCCTTAGAAGTGCAAGAACTCTTTGGTTTTTTGGACCTTTTACAGCTGTTACTTCGACTACTGCTTCCACTGCTATTGTCATCGAATTTCGAATTCTCAAACTTTGAATCAAAAAATGAATCTGGCAGGGGTGGTGGCATGCATAGGTTGAAGCTCATCGGACCCCTGAATCCAGATTCCCCTAAAAAATTATCACCACTGTGGCTGTTTGGATTTGCTACAAAGGGTCTTTGATAGTTAAATCTTCTGGGAAAATTAGAATTTGTAAAATATTTTTGTTGGTTGTTATTATTTGAGTAAAACGGACGATGCATATTTTCTTGCAAATTAAAATTTTCTGGAGGTTTTATAAACAAATTTGTAGAATCGCCTGGCTGAGAAAATTGCTTTGAAATATTCTTTTCCCTGATAGGAGTAGGAAGCAACTGTCTAACTAATAATTTCTTCTGCTTCCTGGTCAACCCTTTTGAGTTAATATATCCCTGAGACTTTCCCGCGTTTATTCTTTTTTTCTTCTTCTTATTTTTGGAATTTAATCTTTTTGTCTTTTTATTTTTGAGGTGTAATTCTGTTTTTATAAAAAAAACACTAATAAATAAAATGAATGATTTATTTATCAAGTTATTTTTAAACAATTGTTAAATTTTTCTAATAAAAAAAATTGATGAAATAGATAATTAGTCAGAGGATTGCCCCTTAAAAATGGTCGGTGCTCAATAACGAATATATTTCACGATGAACTCAAGAGAAGAATGGTTTAAAAATTTTATAATATAACAAGGATGATTGTTTTGAGTTCAGTGTGGCCAATCTTCTGATTAAAATATAAATTGAGAACCAACTGTCTTCAGAAAGTCTTAAAAACCAATCATTGAAATAAACATGAGACCAACCATCCATGTAAAAAAGAAACTTTGAAGTTGAGTCCAACTTTCAATTAAAATTTAATTAATTATTAAATTAATCAATTAATTAACTCTTATTAAATACAAGACCAATAATCAAATGAATAGAAATCAAATGTCTAACACTCTTAAAACTTAAAGGACTAAGCAATTAAGCATATCTTTTATGTTTAATAATTAATTTAATTTATTCATTTAAATCATTCATTCATTCATACATACATACATAAATTATGATAATTTAAAATTAGGTTCACTTGACTACACAAACGAAATTGTTCACTACTAACAATAACATGGAGGGCAAAGCACTGAATGCTTCTTAAGTTAGTAATCAACTATTATTCATATCATTTATTACTCAAGTTAGAGAGATGAATGATTGAGTGACCGAACTTTTAATAATTTTTGAAATACACGCCAAACGGCCAAACGACCAAATGACCAGCACACAACGACGGCAACGGCCAACACGTGTCAAACCATTAGCGATAAGTCTGAAATTAAATGAATTTATTGCAAAATTATTGCAAATTGGAAAATTCAGTAATAATAAAAATATAAAAATAATTATAAATTAATGAAAGAAATTAAACTCTTTTGAACACTGGAAGACACCATTTTTTTAACTATTTTGCTTTATTTATTTTAAAAGTTCACTCCGATAACAATAACTGTTATGGAAAGCCATTGTAATTTTATTTATTTTAAAATTGGCTATTTCTCAATCAATCATTTAGTTTATAAAGAGCCATTCCCGCGATGTTCAACAGCGCTCCTCAATGAATTTTGCAAACAGATGGGTCTTGAGATCCGCTCTGAACTTCGTAAGTGATGGAGAAGAAGTCAGAGAAGGAGGTAGAGAGTTCCAGAGAGAAGGCTGTTGACAAATGGAAGAACAAATGAATATATGTGTCCCTGTATTTATTTTTGTATATACTTATAGAGGCGATAGTTTAGTTCGTTCAGCACCATCATATGGTTTGGTCAGTTCACCAACAAAATCTGGTTTTATATTCTATAAATGAGGCAGGCTCTTGTCGAAACCGAGCTAATGATATCAAGAAAGTGATTTGATTTTATCATTGAGTTTACAGTGATAAACAGACAACAAAATGTTTACAGTATATGAGTAAGTGTGTGCGTGCGTGTGTGCGCGTGTGTGTCATTTTTTGCCTAATGGTGTCTATTTAAACAAATTTATCAAAAAATATAACAATATATTTTATTGAGAATAGAACATTGTCACATTTAACATGAGTTATATTAGTGCGTGTATGCGTTTGTGTATCTGTTTGTCTGTGTGTTCGTATGGATGTATGTATGTGCGTGTATTTATGTGTTATTTTTTTAACCATTTGCATCCATTTAAACAATCAAAAATTGACAAATTTTTCTCCAGAGTCAGATCAACATAACATGAGATAAATATATGAAAATTATCTATAAGTAATTCAACACCTTACAAACAGATGAGGACTTATTATAACTCAATAATTGAACAAATTAGAAACGAATAAACATCCAAACGATAAAAGACACAAATAAACATTAAATCCTCGGCCAAGAGTTGCATCACTCACAGTTACGTTAGTGAAGTTGGCAGTAGTGATAACAAGGGTAGTGCTGGGGGTAGGGTTAGTTATGTTTAAAGGTAGAAAAAATGGCGGTCTTGGTGTTGGGATTAAGTCCCTCGAGACTAAACATTTGCCGATCATGTTTTTGACCGGTTTCAAATCGGCCACTGTAAAATTGTTGTTGCTGCTACCATCGTTGTTTGCGATGTTGTTGACGGTGCTGTTGTTGCTGTTGCTGCTGGTCGTGTTGCCATTAAAAGTGGTGTTGTCGTTGATGTCATTCTTGATGTGTACTTGAGGTTGCGGAGACAGTTGTCGCGCAACTTTGCAACGGTCGCCGTTGCACTTTTTGCTGCCCTCCTTGTCGCCACCACCATCGTTCTCATCGTCGTCGTCCTCTTCCTCCTCATCATCATTATCATCATAGTCGCCTTCCTCGATTTTAACATCTTCGTGGTTGACAACGGGTATGCCCCACATGACCTTCGACCTTCGAATTTTTTCACCTTCAAGGTCGTATTTGAAGGTTCGTTTGGCCACGAAATCGTTCATGTCTGCTTCGGCCGTTGTCAAGTCCCGTAGTTGGGGACACCGTAAGATGGCAGAAGACGTTGGATTTTGCAAAGTGGATGTAGATGGAGAGGGATTCTGTGGACGTGAAGTCGTCGGCGTTTCTACACTTCCGTTTGAACTTCCGGATTAACTTTTTTATCGGTTCCGGATTTCTGATGTTTTCGATGTTGTGTTGAGGGTCGCAGAAATTCTTCCCCGATTTGATTGGCGGGGGCGTTTGCTTTTTGCGACGTTTCGTTGTCGTAATTGTTGTAGTTGGTCCTGTTGTTGTGTTTGTTGCTGTTGTTGTTGTTGGTGTTGTTGCTGATGATGTTGTTGATGTATCGTTGGTTTGGTTTGATGTGAAATTTGAATGAAATAAAGTTGAATTTGATTGGAATATTGTTGTTGTTGTTAGTAGTAGTAGTGACAGTGTTGATGTTGTTGTCGTTGTTGTTGCCGTCGTTGTTGTTGTTGATGTTGTTGTTGATGTTGTGCTTTTACTTTCGGTACCATTAGTGTTGTTGTTGTTGTTGTCGTCAGTGATGATGATGTCATTGTTGAAGTCGTTGATGTCAATTTTAACCTTGCTGTTAGACTCTTTTGCCGGGATGCATTGACAAACTAAAATTGATTTGTACAGCTGCGGTTTGTCGTAGGTAACATTATCACTATTGCTGTTGTTGTTGATGTTTGTAATGTTGTTGTTGCTCAAGTTAGTGGTGTTGTTGATGTTGCTAGTGTTGTTGTTGTTAATGTTGGTGGTGAGGTTGGTATCGCTACTTCGGTTGCTGCTGCTGCTGTTGAAATGATTGGTGATATTTGCTTCAACGATTGTTATATCTGTGTTATTATTATTGTTGTTGTTGTTGTTGTTGTTGTTGTTGTTGTTGTTGTTGTTGTTGTTGTTGTGTTCATTATTAATATTATTATTATTGTTGCTGTTGTTGCTGCTGTTGTTGTTGCTGTTGTTGTTGTTGTTACTACTATTAGTGTCGTTGTTGTTATAAAAAGCGGTGATATTGGTGTTATTATTACTGTTGTTGTCGTTATTAAAACTGTTGATGTCAGTGATGTTGTTGTTAGTGACGTTGTTGTTAGTGTTGTTGTTGAGGTTAAGGTTGTTGTTGCTGATGATGTTGTTGTTATAGTTGCAGGACCTCACCAGTCTAGAAACGTATCTGTCTGCAAATGGGCGATTGAAAGGAGGGTCGGATGGGAGATGTCATCCCAAAGTTTAAGAGAAATGTTATTTTCAATGATGTCAGTGTGTACTGTTTGATTTATTTATTTATTCAAGCATGCATTCATTAATTCAGTCATTCATTCGTTTACTCGTTCATTCCTTCACTTACTCATCTGTTCATTCATTAATTCATTTATTCATTTATTCACTTATCAATTTATCCATCCATCCGTCAGACAATCAAGCAGAAACAAATTACTAATAACCGTCGACATAGAGTTTCATGAGGCAGCTTGTCGAGTTGGTGTCGTTGGGGCAGAAGTTTATATAGTCCTCGGGTTTGTAAGTGCAACCATCGTCTACCAGCGAATCACAGATGGGGCACCTTAAGGTTCTAGAACTTTCCTCTTTCAATTTCTTCAGATATTCCTTCTGCAGTTGTATCTGCTTTTTTCGTTGTTCTATCTGTTCGTCGTGTTGAAACCACTTTTGCAGTTGAACCCGGATCCTCTCCCTATCGCGAATATCTTCTACGCTCATATGTTCGAGCTCCTTTAAATCCTGCTCCCACTCACGTTGGTTCAATTCTCGGTTCAATTTGAAAAAGTTTTGCAGTTTCAGGTGGTAGGTTCTGTTGTTTTCTTCTCTTTCTATTTGTTGCTTGGTCAAATTTTGTGAGTTGAGGAAGAGGGTGATGTTTTCAGGGACTGCCACGGAGGGGTACGTGCCGTTGGGGCTGGAGAATCTCGTTTCGTTTAGGGGCAACCCTGAGTGAGAGAACGAGTTGAAGAGGGACATGGTGACAAGGGAGACGAGGAACAAATTATTACTATTCTTAAACATTATTGTCATTGCCGTTATTATTATTACAAATAGCAGCAGTAGTAACAATAACAGTATTGTTATTAGTGTTATTAGAAGTATATTTTTTATGACTTTACAAATGTTTAAGCATGAATTCGGTCATATCGTTTCGATAATAACGATACTTAAATTAACATTTACGAAACAGGCAGGCCTTAACTTCTCATTAACGTCACATTAGGCATCATTATTATTAATTGTATTTATTATTTTTCTTTTTATTATTATTATTATTAATAATAATCAATTTTTAAACCAAAATAACAACGAAACGACATTAATGTTATTATACAAGTTTCATGCCAGACAGGAATACCACAACAATTGTATGGGGTAGAAACTTGCATGCGCAATAATATTAATAATAGTATAATTAAAATTATTATTATAATTATTATTATATTATTATTATTATTATTACGTCATTCACATGTGTGTATTTCGGTATTTTATAACAGGATTGTCACATAAAAAAAAGGCACACACGCACATGAAAAGAAAAGTTAAATTCAATGAAAACATACATAGCAAAACGCTGGGCAAAACTTTTTCAACGAAAAAATGTTACAAATAAATACATTTCTTCTTGCGGGATAACATCAAATTATCATTTTTAATTAATAATAAAAGTTATTATAATAATAATAATAAAAATAATAACAATATCAGCATTGAGAATAATAAAAATAGCAATAACTCCGATCTCAAAATGCGACAAACGACATCAATGATAGCTTTCTCGATACTTTTGGCGCTAAAAATAGCCCCAATGACGTCATTGTTGTGCCAGAAATGTAACAGCGATGACGACATCCTCTGCAGAGATGCGAAAATAGTTGCGAACTCCAGCAGTGATGAGGTGTGTCGGGTGGATGTTGATGGCGGCTCGTGTGTTTATAAAACTTATCTGGGTTAGAAATTATTATTATTTAATTAATTCAAATAATATTAATATGATTATTGTTGTCGTCATCATCTTCATCGTCACCATCACCTTTCCCGCCCAATCAGACGAGCGACCGGCTACTTCCCCCACCATCATCACCACCACCATCACGGCCGCCACCATTAACATCAACAAAAAAATAATCCGCACCTGCTCCAACCGACTACGTCCCAACGAGACTGACGTCACACGTAACGTGACCGGCCTGCTGACGTGTCGCTGCTCTAGCGGCGATTTTTGTGACGCCGGAAGTGAGATGATGGAAATGATGGCCGGCCAGGACTTCCGGGGCATCGTGGGTGAGTTTAAATCCGCCTGCAATGAATTAGCACTATCTGTTGATGACCAGTTGTTAGTTTTGCAGTGGCGACATTGGAGAAGTAGCAGCAACAACATCAACTGCACTGTAAAGAACAACGTCAAAAACTATACCGATACAAATGATAATAATAATAATTTTAATAATAATAATTATAATAATACATATAGTTATAATAATAATAATAATAACGATAGTGAAGAGGATGGAGAGGAAATACACTGCAACCTAATTGTATCCACGGAAGATAAAATATTTATCGAACCCGATCTGGAGAGATGGCAGAGTGTGAAGAAGTTCATTTTACGTTCCGACAATGCGCCTGAGAACAAAGAGGCCAACGAGGGTAAAGTTGGTAAGTGTATGTATGTATGTATGTATGTATGTATGTATGTATGTATGTATGTATGTATGTATGTATGTATGTATGTATGTATGTATGTATGTATGTATGTATGTATGTATGTATGTGTATGTATGTATGTGTGTGTGTATGTATGTATGTGTGTATGTATGTATGTATGTATGTATGTATGTATGTGTGTATGTATGTGTATGTATGTGCATGTATGTGTATGTATGTGTATGTATGTGTATGTATGTATGTATGTGTGTGTATGTATGTATGTGTGTGTGTGTATGTGTGTGTGTTGTTATTATCATTATCATTCTTTCAGGGATTGTACAAATGGGACAAATTGGTACTAATTACAAACAACTCTACAACAATATGAAAGGTTCTTAATAATAATATAATAATAATAATAATATAATAATAATAATATTTATCATAATGGGAACGTCATTTTATTTTCATCATAAATCACACGTTAAAAAGAGTTGTTAATGAATTAAAATTTAATAAAAGTAAAACTGTTTTAAAAATTAAAGATTAAAATATTCTACGAAGCTCGACATCCTAAAGAAGAATGCGTACATAATAATAATAATAATAATAATAATTATTATTATTATTATTATTATTATTATTATTATTATTATTATGAATAGCAGTAGTATCTGTATCATTAGTATTATAAAGCCATTATAATAATTATAATTATAATTACATTCATAATTTAGAAATTATGACCCCTTAGGTGAATGCCTGATCCTGAAAATGGACCAAACGCTTCTAGAGAATGAGAGTCAACGACTTGGAAATCTGGAAAAAACCTCTAAACCTGGAAAAGAATCACTAAAATCAGCTGAGGAAAAAAAGGTCAACTTGACGCTGAAAGGAGATATGCCTTTGCTAAATAGGGATGTACCTAAGAAAAATTTAAACAATGCTATAGACAGGGATGTGCTTGAAAGAAAATTAGACTACGCCATGACCCAGCTGTTTATCTACAAAATGAAACTTGCTAAACTGGAAGGCGAGAGGAGACGCCAGCATGAACAGCACCTGAATGACGCTACAAAGACTATGAGGGATTTCAGACGGTGCCAGTATTTGAATAAAAAATTTGAGATCATTAATAATAGATTGCTGAAGTGCATTAGGGCTAAAACTTCTACTGCTGCTGCTACTAGTAATACTATTACTACTGCTGCTGCTGCTGCTGTTTCTTCTACTACTACTACTACTACTACTACAAAACCTAAAACGAAAGATTATTATAACAATTTGCTTTTGCCAGGAATGCATTTTGAAAATCATTATCTCAACTATGAAAATGATCAATGAGAATACTTTCATTATTACTACCACTACTGCTACTTCAACAACAACTACTACTACTGCTGCTGCTACTACTGCTACTGCTACTACTACTTTTTATTTACAAAAAATACATGTTGTTGATGAAATTTATTAACGGTTAACTTGTTAAAAATGTTTGGTTTACGATAGCGCTGCCATAGAATTTGACTTTATTTTCATAGTTATCAACCATGATAGCCTTTACACGTGCACAATTATTACTACTACTACTACTACTACTACTACTACTACTACTACTACTACTACTACTACTACTGTATCTACTACTACTACTGCTGCTACTACTACTACTGCTACCACTACTACTGCTACTACTGCTACTACTGCTGCTACTACTGCTAATAATTTAGTATCATAATTTGTTAGATGTCGAGTTACATATTTGCTTGTTGATTCATTGTTGCCATTCCTTCGCTAGTTTGTTATAGTTTTGTATCATTCTTTATATCATTCTATGTATTTCTTGTTTATTTTGTATCATTCTTTATATCATAATGTGTATTTTTCGTTCATGTTGTATCATACCTTGCATCAATTTGCATCATGTCGCATTTGTATATCAGTTCGGCAACATACAAGACATGTTTTTGACGTTTGTTGTCCATTTAGTATATTTCTCATTTCATAAAATTATCATACAAAAACACTTGCATCTCTTAATCTTATTTTCTTCTTCTACTACTTCTGCTGATGCCACAACTGCAGCTGCTGCCACTACTATTACTGCTGCTGCTAGTTGCTGCTGCTACTACTACTACTACAACTACTACTACTACTACTACTACTACTACTACTACTACTACTACTACTACTACTACTACTACTACTACTACTACTACTACTACTACTACTAATAGTCGCACCGTTATCATAAAATAAGCAGATCCGCCCTGAACATGGAAATTTCTTGATAAGCGAAGAAATTCAATTCTGTTTTTGGGTTAAATAAATAATAATAATAATAATAATAATAATAATAATAATAGTAATAATAATAATTAGGTGTTCGAATTTTCGCAAAAATCTCTTATCTAATTTATTTGTTTAATTTAAACCACTAACAATCAATCGAAATAGCAATAATAATAATAATGATAAGAAGAAGAAAAATAATAATAACAATGATGATAAATTATTATCATAATATAAACAATAATAATTCATAGGAAATCTATATAAGTACACACTCATTCTACGTACTTAAAAAAAATTTAAATTTACATTCTTCTTCAGGTAGGGTAGTTTTTATTTTGAAATAAAAAAATAAATAAATTTATTTTATTGAATTAAATATCATATCATTAAAAAATAATACCTAATTATACTATAAATAAACCATTAATTGTTATCAATTTAACATTTAAATAATTCAAAATCAATTTATGATTTCTCATTCGTAGAGACCGCAAAGCAAAGATGTTTTCGCCTAATTTCATCTTCCTCTTATTCATCGCCATCTCTCTCACCTTCAACATGAGTGTACTGGCAGACGGGCCTGCCGTGGGCCCCCCAAGTATCCCCTGCCCAGCCGGACCACCCGGAATGCCAGGACGCCCAGGAGCACCGGGAGTAGATGGAATGCCCGGATTTCCTGGGCCTAAAGGTCAATCCGGAATAAAAGGTGAGGTTGGCCCTCGTGGAAGGGTTGGTGCACGTGGTTTGCAAGGCCCGCCAGGACCACCAGGACCACCAGGGCCAGCTGCGGTAGTGAATTAATTGGAGTTTTTAGTGAAACTGCCCCTTTATGATGATGAAGATTAAGATGACGACGACGACGATGATGGCGATGATGACATTATTTATTTGTTATCCCGTTAATATTTTTTATAAACAATTTAAAAATTAATTAAAGATTTTTTTAATATTTTAAATTTTGAATTCGCGAAATTGAAAAACAATTGTTTGAATCGTAGTTTGAGTGGATTTTTATTTTTGAGTTCATGTGCGCGTGTCGAACATACGCTTCAAAAAAATTACTGAAGTGATTAAAATTAAAATAACGGAGGAGTGTTCACGTTCGGAGAAGATAAATTATCCACCTACTCAATTAACATAAACCTTTGACAAATAAATAAACAAAAGTTGAACATGACGATAAGTGCTCTTAAATAAGTAGTAATGGTATTATTATTAGTAGTAGTAGAAGAAGTAGTAGTAGTAGTAGTAGCAGCAGTAATAGTAGTAGTATTTAATTTAAAATTTAAGATTTTTAAGTCCAAACTACCTAATAGCAAGCTTAAACGTTTTAGTTACCTTTGCTTTCGTTATAACACAACAACAACAACTACGACAAATACCACCACTACTGCTACTACTACTACTACTACTACTACTACTACTACTACTACTACTACTACTACTTACTGCTACTACAACTACTACTTAAACTACTAGAGCTACTACGACAACTATTTCTACAATACGAAACTCCCACCATGTTATTTCAAATACGACAGCCATCCCAACCGATACTGCTGCTACTACTACTACTTCAATTACTTCTACTACAGCTTCCAGAAGCAGAAGCAGCCGTACTAACGTGTTACAGGTGTGCCAATATTGATAATTATTTTGACTGCAACGAGTTAAGCCCAGCCTATTACCGACACTTCTGCAATGGAACCAAATGCCTCTATAGCGTTTCTGCCTTTTATAACAGTGAGTTATTATTGTTATCATTCTTGTTGGTTATACTTGTAACGATAAAAATAATAATAATAGTAGTAGTAGTAGTAGTAGTAGTAGTAGTAGTAGTAGTAGTAGTAGTAGTAGTAGTAGTAGTAGTTGTTGTTGTTGTTGTAGCAGCAGCAGTAGCGGTAAAACTAATAATATAATCTGAAGCCTTAGAGTTAATCAAGGTAAGCATTGAAGCATTTTAAGCAGTAAAATACTTGAAATGATAGTAAAAGTTGTAGTAGCTGTGGTGGTGGTGGTATTTTTGCTAACCAGGCAAGCCGATGGCGAAGAGGCGATGTAGCAAGGACGACACGCTCGCAGACGATTGCAGGAGATATGAATATGGAGTGCGTCATTATGGATTTGAATTCCTTTGTTTATTCATTAGTTCATTCGTTTACTCATTTGCGTCTTATTTATTCATTCATTCATTGATTCGTTCGTTCGTTCGTTCATTCATTCATTCGTTTGTTAATTCATTCGTTCGTTTGTTCGTTCATTCATTTATTCATTCATTCATTCGTTCATCCATTTATCTATCCATTCATCTATCCAACAAAGGACTTTACAAAGGTAGAGTGCACTTGTTCGGACAGAAACTTGTGTAACGATATAATATACGGTAGTAGGAATGAAAATTATAATAATAATAATAAACAATAATAAACAATAATAAAAATAATAAACAATAATAATAATTATGATTATAATTATAATAATAGAAATAATAAACAATAATAATAATAACTTTTTGCAAGGTGGACATAATGATCCGTGGAGAAAAGAATTGTCCGTGGTCGAAAAGACGAATTTGACCATATCATTTTCCACCCCGTGAATGAATGAATGAATAAATGAATGAATGTATGAATAAATGAATGAATGAATGTATGAATAAATGAATGAATCATTCATCATCCATTCATTCATTCACGATGACACTGTTTGTATAACATGAAATTAAACTAAATTTTTGAGAGCGAGCAATCATTTCTTTGTTTGCATTCATTCCCATCCTAAACAAATCTTACTAATTCACGTCTTTAATTTTTTTTGTTTGTTCTTTTGTTCGTTCATTCGTTCATTCATTCATTCATTCATTCATTCATTCATTCATTCATTCATTCATTACTCTCTTTTTTTCTGTCTCTCTTTCTTTCTTTCATTTTCTGTTTGTTCAGTCGATCAATTGTTCGTTCGTTCGTTGCTCTAGCTCCACAATTCAACACAGGGTCACCATCATTATCACCACCGCCACCATAATTATACTAATTATAATTATCATAAATATAATTATAATTATAGTCATCATCGTCGTCGTCATCGTCACCTTCTCCTTAAAAACGCTGGAATATATACTAAAATCTATAAAATGAATCTTACATTGAATAGATATATATGGTTATATGTGTACATGTGTATACATATATATGGTTATATATGTATATATATATACATATATATGGTTATATATATGTATCTATGTTTGTATGAACGTCTGCATGTTTGTATGTAGGCTTGTGTGTTTGTATATATTTGTGTGTCAAAAAAACATTCTGAAAAAAGTTTCTAATGAAGGATTAATTTGAAAAATAGAACAACGGGACGAGATGCATCCTCAAAATTTAACATATTTAACGTTAATGCTCGTTATATCATCGTCATCATCATCGTCGTCGTCACCATCAGTACGGATAAGAACGTACTCATCCCACAGACCGCCCAAACATGAAACAGCCACAGCAGCCGACCTGAAAACCATCCTAGCCACTAAGAACAGCAAACAGCTCAAAAGCTATCTCCTAGCTAATAAAAAGTTTAGCTCAGTTAACGAAACCTGGATAGCGGCTATCTCTCGCTTAGAGTGCGCTAAAATGTGTAGCAAAAAAACGGCCAGCGGATCAGTATGCGCCGGGTTCGATTACAAGACCAGCCAAGATAAAATTATTGACGACATTACTAAGAATTATAAAAATAGTAATGATAATCATGGTGGGATTAGCAGTAGTAGTAGCAGTAGTAGTAGCGGTAGTAGTAGCAGTAGTAGTAGCAGTAGTAGTAGCAGTAGTAGTAGCAGTAGTAGTAGCAGTAACAACTGCAGGTTTATCGTTAATTTGGTCAAACCCCGAACTGAACCAGAGTTGCATTTGTTGCAGACTTCACCATTATTCAAACTATCATCATTATCATCATCGTCGACATCATCATCGTCATCATCGTCGTCGTCATACTCTAAAGGATTAGCATTGGCACACATAGGACGTCAGAGTGTTTCTGAAACTATAAAATTAGATTATGATGATGAAGATGACGTTTCTGCCATCAGCGGTAGTGGCAGTAGTAGTAGCAGTAGCGGTAGTAGCAGTAGTGGCGGCTACATCACTTATCAAGTTTGTAAAAAAATTTCTAAACTTCATTTTTTGGCGATAATGATAGAGATGACGACGACGACGATGATGATGAATATGATGATGATGATGATGAGGAAGATAATGATGAAGATGAAAAGGATGATGAAGAAGATGATGATAATGATGATGATGACGATGATTGCACTTAAGTGTATGCACTTGTATATTTCAATCCCAAGGACCTTAATATGAAAGAACTGGCGACGTTAAGAGGCAAGCTTCATTTATTTATTTGTTCATTCATTCATTCATTCATTCATTCATTCATTCATTCATTCATCCATTCATCCATTCATCCATCCATTCATTCATTCATGAATTAACTTACATACATCTGAATCACAGTTATTGGAATAATAATTATTTATATATAACTAAATACACACGCGCACACACACACACAGACAACCATCTCTTCAACATCACCATAATAACCGGTAGCAGAATGGGTGCCGGAACCGACTCAGCTGTAACCGTAACTCTCGGTATCGAGAAATACGAATACTCTCAGCCCATCTCTACAAATAACAACAACAACGACAACAACAACAACGACAATAATAATAATAATAAGAGGACGATTAAGTATGAAGAAGTGTTCCCTTTAGATGCTCCATCGTCACTGAATATTTTCGAAAAGTCTGATACGGATACGTTCCTAGCTATAGCCGGACGATTAGGACTGGCCGACGAATTCACCGTTACGTACGTTAGGTTGGTAAGATGATGATGATGGTGATGATGAGGGTGGTAGTGGTGATGATGGTGACAATAATTATTTTAATAATAATTATACTAATTATGGCAATCATAATTATTATAAGATTGGAGATTGATGACAGTGATCGTAAATACGGTCCTTGGCAACCATCCGAGGTTAAAATAATAATAATAATAATAATAACAATAACAATAATGGGAACATTCTTTTCTTTTCTTTACCGAAAAAAAAACAAAATCCAAATGGAATCTATCAAAAATTATTAATTATATGTTAAATAATAATAACAATAATATTAATAATAATGTTTGTAGGTCGTCATCACCAGTTTGATATCAGGAAGAGCCTGGTCTGTTGCCGGCTTAACTGGATTCATTGATGAAAAGAATGAATATTCATATGAAGTGAACGTGAAGTGACGATGGTGACAAGGATGATGATGATGGTGCTGTTGTTGATGATGATGATGGTGCTGTTGTTGATGATGATGATGGTGCTGTTGTTGATGATGATGATGGTGCTGTTGTTGATGATGATGATGATGATGATGAGGAGGAGGAGGAGGAGGAGGACGATAAACAGAAAAACTGATGACGACCCTAAAGTATAGGAGCAAACGTGTAAATATAAAAAAATAAATATTAGGCGCCGAATAAATTTTGGAAAAAAGAATTTTTAATTTTTCGAGAAATAGAAAGATTGAAGAATGAAAGAATAAATGGTTGAATGAATGAATGAATGGTTGAACTAAGGATTTAATTGATGAAAGATAAACGAATGAATCAATGAATGAATGTGTAATTTAAGAACCAAATAAATAAACGAACGATCGAATAAATGGATGAATGGACGGATAAATGGATGAATAAAAAACGAACGAATTGATGGATGGATTGAAAAACAAATGAATGAATGAACGAAAAATTAACATCATCGTAACAGTCTGCAGATTAAAATGAAACTTTGTAACCAAAAATTTCTTCGCGTTTTACTAAACAAATTTATGCTCTGAGATATCTTCAGATGAATAAAAATAAATTTAATATGTTATCGTTTGTCAAAGGTACGTGTTAGTTTATTTAATTCATCCATTTGTTCATTAACTCATTTATTTATTAATTCATTCATTCATTTTTTTGTTTGTTCGTTCATTTAGTGATCAATCAATAATTGAAAACACGGCGGCCATTTAGATTCTTCAATCAACACTTCAATTTTTTCAATCATTCACTCACTCATTCATTCGTTCGTTTAGTCATCCACTCATTCCATCAATCATGAAAAACGACAGCAACTATCATCATAATCGCCGTCATCATCGTCTTCATCATCAACATCATCGTCGCCTTTCCTCAAACGATTCTGTGTTATAAATGTTCCGTTGTTAAAGATCCTGATTGGTGCGAGAAATTAGGTTCGTTCATTCATTCATTCATTCATCCATCCATTCATTCGTTCTTTCATTCATTCATTCATCCACTCACTCATTCATTCATTCATTCATGTAGGTTACAACTACGTAACCTGTCCCCACAATGTTGAATGTAGCAGGCTGCAAGACAAATTCTACCTCTCCAGATGCGTTGGTGTTAGCTGCCGGTCTAGAACGGTCGTTCGTGAAGATGGCGAGTGAATTATATCTAATTATGAATCAATTATGAATAATTATGAATTCATTCCTTCATTATTTCATTCGTTCTTTCGTTTGTTCGTTCATTCATCTATTCAAACTTCAAACATTCGTTAGTTTATCAATTTTTTAATTTAGAAAGAATTAAAATAATAATGAATTGTTATGATTGACTATCAATTAACCAACCAATCAACCATCCAACCAATCAACCAACCAATCAACCAACCAATCAATCAACCAACCAATCAACCAACCAATCAACCAACCAATCAACCAACCAACCAATCAACCAACCAATCAACCAACCATTCAACCAACCAATCAACCAACCAACCAACCAGGTGAATTCATAACAACGAGGTATTGTTCCAACGAGCCTGCCTTGGTAGATATCTGCGTGGAACGTAATGCTGGCTGGGATTACAATGTTCAGTGCGAATGTGTCGGCCGAAGTTTCTGCAATGATAAGATATTTTTAAAGGAATAATAATGATAATAATAATAATGGGAACATCTTTTATTTTTCACCATAAAAAAACAAACAATGATAAATATATATATATATAAATAAGTTAATGATAATGACAATAATAATAATAATAATATTAATAATAATAATAATAATAATAATAATAATAATAGTAATAATAATAATAATTATAAGAAGAAGAATAACAGCAACTGTAATTACTCAAGCTCACACGCCTGTTGCAGTTCAGAATGTTCAACAATTAAAATGTCATTCGTATTATTATTAATAATAATATTAATTCTCGAGCGTATATGACAATAATAATGATAATACTAAATAATAATAATTAATAATAATAATAATTATTACAACAACAACAATAATAATTCTCTACTGACATTTTCAACGTCCAACTGGTTTCTCTCATTAAAATATGCGACCTCCCGTCAATATAATTACGCTTATAATTATAATTATTATTATTATAGTTATTATATATATATACATATATTATATTTATATACATGTGTGAGCGTGCGTGTGTGAGCGTGCGTGTGTGTGTGTGCTTGTATAAATATATATATACGTAATTTTATTAATTATTTTTTCGGTTAAAAGTACTTTATGCCATCCTAAAACCGGTATTAACTATTTATATTTCACAAATAATTTTATAAAAATAATTATTAATAATAATAATTATTATTATTTGACGTTTTAAATTAGTTTCAATTTCTGCGTTTAAGCACCGTTGACGGTAAATTTGTCACTTTGTTTCATTGTTCTACCATAAATAATAATAATTATAGTTATATTAATAATTATTAAAACAATAATAAGAGAGATAATAAAATTATTATTAACTTTTACGAGCAATAATGGAGCTTCAGAGAGTTAACAACATCGAAAATGAATCTATCTCCGAATCGAAGGGAACAAATTCACCAGGATTTTCCAACACCCCCACCAACCACAACAACAGAAACGCCAACATCCCAAAACTTCACACCACCAGCAGCTGTTGCAGCAGCTGCAACAGCTACAACACCTCCATCCTCTTCACCATCATCGTCTTCGTCACCATGATCACCATGCAGTCGCCACTTTCTGAAGCCGTCACTTGTTACGAGTGTAACAAGACCCAACTCTTCTGCCAGGATAAGTTCACTCGGTACGACGCTGATGTGCCAACCTGCGAAGGGGATGTCTGCTACAAGAAGAAAGTCCTCGAAGATGGTGAGAATGATGATAATGATGGTGAAGATAATGGTGGAGATGATGATGGTGAAGATGATGGTGGAGATGATGGTGGAGATGATGGTGGAGAAATTGTGGTGAAAAGACGATGAACACGATGAAGAAATTGTGACGAAGTAATGAGAATGATGATTAAAACACACACACACACACACACACACACACACACACACACACGTACGCACATACACACACATACAAAAATATCTTAGCACACACACACGCACACACACACACGTACGCACATACACACACGTACAAAAATATCTTAGCACACACACACGCACACACACTCACACACACACGTACGCACATACACACACATACAAAAATACCTTAGCACACACACATACACACACACACGCACGCACGCACACAGGAAAGTATCTGACCATACGAACGTGTACCACCTTTCAAGAGCAGAATGAACAGTGCAAACTCGTCGACCAGCCATACACAAACATTTGCATCTGTAGCCGAAACTACTGTAACTTTGCTACCAAAAATTTCGCAAGCTTTCTCACTCTTAGCATATTTTTTGCCGGGTTTGTTGGGGTCGTTGCTTTCATTAGTGGTTAGAGATTGGAGATCAGGCATGGATATAAATGTACATAGAGAGAAAGGTACATACCTGCATACTAACTTACATACATGCAATTTCAAATGCATGTTAAATTGTCTGGAGATTTTGATATTTATGATTAGATTGACTAATAACAATTTTGATCAAAAAAAATTTTTGTCTTCATCATCGTCGTCATCGTCATCATCTTCATCGTCTTCATCATCATCTTCATCATTGTCATCGTCTTCATCATCGTCATCATCTTCAGCTTGATTCCCGCAGTTAAAAGTATAAATTTAAATTCCCCTGCTGAGTTGTTGATGTTGTTGAAGTTGTTGTTGTTGTTAATATTACTATTAAAGGTGATGATGACGAGGACGATGATGATGATCATTATGTTAGATTCTTCTATTTGCCAATTTTATTTTGTTAAAACAATTTGAGACATTGGAACTTTCATTTGGCGATGAAATGTTTTATTTTTTCGGGAGAAGTTAATGAATAGTTTCTAGTTAGAATAAAATTATTATAGTACCATTCGTTTGTTTGTTGTTCGTTCATTCAATCAACCATTCGGTCGTTCAATCACTCAATCACTCATTCATTGAAATTGTCATCTTTGCATAAATAAAATTACAAGTACATACAATTTTTTCCAAATTAAAATCGGCTTTCAATCAATCATTCATTCATTCACTCATCCACTCATTCATTCATCAAATACTTCACTCTTTTAGGCTAATCAGCATTTCGACAAACATTTATCTATTCATTCATTCACTCATTCACTCACTCACTCACTCACTCACTCACTCATTCATTCATTCACTCATTCATTCACTCACTCATTCATTTATTCATTCATTCACTCACTCACTCATTCATTCATTCATTCATCGAACACCTTATTATTACAATAGTCGTCATTCCTGCATGTACATTCTACCTCGTGCAGCTGGCCCCCTCTGTACTTGCTGAAGCAGGAATGGTATGGAAGCTCCTTGTCCGAACACGATCTCCTTACTTCCAAGTTCCCTGATGATGATGATGATGATGATGATGACGACGATGATGATGAAGACAATGGTGACGACGATGACGATGATGATGAGGCTGGGAATGGCGGTGATGATGACGATGACGTAATCTTTCTTCGTCAGAGTTCAATTGGAAGATGATTGCAGTATTATCATCCTCTTATCGAAGTCACAATCATCGTCATCGTCATTATCAATAAATACTATCATCACCATCATCAGCAACAACATTCTTTAGAAACATCATCATCATCATCGTCATCATCGTCATCATCGTCATCATCTGGGATAAATTTTTGAAAAAAGAATTTATGACTTTTCGAGAGATAGAAAGATTGAAAAATGATTGAATGAATGGTCAACAACATTTTTTAGAAACATCATCATCATCGTCATCATCATCGTCATCATCATCGTCATCATCATCATCACCATCATCTGGGAATATCATCATCATAACCTCTCCGATTCCGAACTGCCATTGTAACGCAAGACTGCCCTCTGCACTTGTCCATCAAATCGGTTTCCATCTTTTGACAGCTAACATAGGCTAAGGAACATTTGTAAGAAGAGGAAGACGACGACGATGATGAAGACGACGATGATGAAGACGACGATGATGAAGACGACGATGATTCACTTTTCATCTGAAATTACATAAAAAAATATATACTGCTATGATGTTCATGACAATAATACTACTGCCGCTGCTGCTATAGCTGCTACTACTACTAATGCTGCTACTACTACTAATGCTGCTACTACTACTAATGCTACTACTACTGCTACTACTACTACTGCTGCTGCTGCTACTACTACTACTACTAATGCTGCTACTA